AGCCGTGACAGGCCGCCTACACCCTAATCTAGGCTCCTTCCAGGCTGTTAACTGTCCTATCGGTGGTGATGTTGGTGTAAGGGCTACGGCCATGATGTTCAGGCGGCACCCTACTTGAAAGTCTGGCGGAAGAGCTCTGTTTTACAGGCCCTGCGGAACTGCAATAGGTCCCACAGGGCCCCGCCGCAGAAAAGGCCCCGGCCCTCGTGGCCAACCTGGCCTCTTTAGCATTGAAGCTAAAGGCTGGCAGCAGCTCTCCAGGGTCTCAGGCTGAGGTCTTCCCCATCACCCACTGCCTGGTCTGAACTGGAGATGCCGAGGATTGAACCTGGGACCTCCGGCACGCCAAGCAGATGCTCCACCGTTGAGCTACGGCCCCTCCCCAAACACACATGAAACTGCCTAATACTGAAGCAGACCCTCAGTCTACCAAAGTCAGTATTGTTTACTTGGACTGGCAGCAGCTGTCCAAGGGTTTCGGGTGGAGGTCTTTCCCATCGCCTATTTCTCAGATCCTTTTTTAGCTGGAGATGCCGGGGATTGAACCTGGGACCTTCTGCATGCTGAGCAGAGGCTCTTCCACCGAGCCACAGTCGGGGCAACCTCTATGCGCAGTTCTTGGCCCTCCAGAGGACCTGGTTGGCCTCTGTGTGAGACGGGATGCTGGACTAGATGGACCCTCACTGGTCTGATCCAGCAGGGCTCTTATGTTCTTACGTTCTCAGTGCACGATGTTAGCTAACGTTACTGTATTCCTGTAGTTACAGGCATCTCTCAGCTCTGCTCATCTGCTTTGGATTCTTCCTACTTCTGTAGAAAATCAAAGACATGAGATTAAATTTGGAAGCGTTCCAAATCTTGCTCATATGGCTGGATTAAGCGGCTCATATGCTGGATTGAGCTGTGTTTACAACATGGGAACCCAGAATTCAGGCTAGGGTTGCCAAGTGTCTTACCGGGTGCAGTGGGGGAGGGTTGGAGCCATCCCAGGACACTCGCTCGCATGCACCGCGATGACGTTGCCTGGAAGTGACGTCATCACGCTGGGCACATCACCGGGTGATGCTCTAGCATTTGCCCTGAAAACTCTATGGTACAATAGAGTTTTTAGGGTGATTGCCAGAGCGTCGCCCGGTGACGTGTCCAGTGTGATGACATCATCATGGCACATGTGCACAAAGACTCCTGGAGAGGGGCCTGGACTCCCCCGCTATTACTTTGGTAAGACTTGGCAACCCTATCTGGAACTAATTTAAAAAGTGAAACTGATTGATGAACTTTACAGATGCAAGCCTGCAGGAACTTTGCAAATAGATCCTGGTCAAGACAAACTTCATTTCATTTGCTCCCCGTGTTCCCCAGACCATGGCTTACATGCTTCTGAGAGGGTGCCCAGACCATTTAACCCTTCCAGCTGGTTGAGTTTCACCTATCATGAAATTTGGAGTAGGACCTCGGTGTACTGCTCTGCACCCTTTCACCAATCAAATTAAGATGTGCACTTCCCAAGATTTTTATGACCCAACTCAGATATCCCAATAGCCATCTGCCTTGCCCTTTTCTGGCAGGTGGCAAAATGGTTTCTCCACCTGCCTGTTTGTCTCCATAAAGGAAGTTCATTTCTCAGACTTCATTCTGAGGTGTTCTATTGCTTCATTTCCCAGGAAAGAATGTTTTCCGTGAGAACAGGGCATCCCTGTGTGTTAATCCAAGGGTCCTGCATCTCTTTATCACAGCAAGGCCTATTATGGGGGGGGGGGCATCCTTCCTCCATTATTCTGGGAACCTGCAGGGTATACTGCTGCACAACCTGGTCCCTTCATCAGTAGTCAGGCACTATCTAGTAGTAATAGCTTTACCGTGAAGGTCCACATATGCTAGGGGATAGTTGAAGCACCAGAAATGAAATTGTTAGCTAAGCAGCACAGAGAAAAATCCTATTAAATAAAAGGGGGGGGTTGTTTTGTTTTTTAAGGCTAGAACAAATCTTTTCACAATCTTTTTCTTGTTTAAGCTACTCTGCAGCAGCCGGCAAGCTAACAGTAAGTCACAAGCTATCTGTTACAGACAAGGGATACAAATCTTCCAAAATACGCAGTACTGGAGTGTAGACCTTTTTGGCTCCCAGAACCTACAAGTGAAACTATACGCACTATATTTCTTCCACATATTACAAACGGCTTTGCTGCTTAGGTTTGGCCCGTGAGGCTCCAGTTGGTGATTCCTACCTTTGTCAGCCTGTCAGTGGAAAAGCTCTGGTATCCCTTAAGATGGTGTCTATGTCTTGCATCTTTACGTATGCTGGCCTAGTGTTACTGTTGACTGAACTCTCCTGAATCTTCTCCTCACCTCCCAGATTGATGAAATGTCTCGTCAGTCTCAGAAGCACTATGATGAGCTGAAAAGTGTCAAGGAGGAGATTGCTGAACTAACTCGCTATGCCCAACGTGTTAATGGGGAGATTGAAGCCTTGAAGAACCAGGTGAGCTGCGTCTGGATACAAAATGAACCAAAATACGGAGGAGAGTACAATGTATGGGAAAACACGACAAAGCCAGATTGCCTCCCAAATCCATTCTGCATGTTGAATGTATTCTTCCAGTTTATCTTTGGCTATAGTTTAAGACAGTTCTGTTCAGGCTTTGATTTGCCTGGCTGCAGATATCCTCATTTTGACTAAGGAAGTGTAGCAGTTGCAAGAAGCAAATAAGGGGGTAATTTTTATTTAGGGGATAGATGTCAATCAGATTGCAGTTTAAAAACTGTTTACATCCTCTGCAAAGAAAAGTACACCATTAGATGAAACCTGTTGGCCAGGAGAAAACCTTCAGCTTTTAGTATAGATCTTTTATCAGAGCACTGACTTCTCTTGAAAGTGGTTTGGGCAGTTTTCTGAATTGGAGGTTTTTTTAAAAAAAAAATTGTGTCCCAGCATTAGCAGGCAGGATTTCCCTGTTGTGCTCTAGCAAGAGATTTAACCCAGTCATCAAGATCATACTTTAGGCTTGCATGTGTGCCCAGTTCTGTTAGCTACTGCGAGTTTTGCACATGGCTTCCCAGTAGCACAGTGGAGATGAAGATGCTGCTCACAGCAACTATCTCCTCTTGCCTAGCGAGCTGTTCTGGAGAATGCTGTGACACTGGCTGAAGAGAAAGGGGAGCAAGCTCTGCAAAGTGCCAAGGGCACCATCCAAGACCTGGAGGAGGCACTGAGGCGTGCCAAGCAAGACATGGCCTGCAAAGTGAGAGAATACCAAGAGCTGATGAACATCAAGCTTGCTCTTGATATTGAAATTGCTACCTACAGAAAATTGCTGGAAGGCGAGGAGAACCGGTGAGAAAGCAAATCCAAACTTTGGTTGAACTGCTTGTTTATGAGCGTTACGTGTTTGAAAATTAGCTGCCCTCTTAGGTAGCTCTAGGAATCACTGGAAATGGCTACATGGTGGCACACACAGGACACTGCCCTCTCCCATGTCCTTGCCCCTGAAGCTCCCACCAGCGCAGCTTGGCAACCCTGTGCCCATTTGATCCAGGGAAAATGGGGAAGCTTGAAGGGAACACAGCAGCTGTGTGATCTACACCTATACCATCACTGCAGTCCTACGCGCTGTGACTCCAACCCAAACCCGTTTATTTCAGTAGGCTTAAACTGGACTCATTCTGCATAGGGTTGCACTAGGGTGGCCGGGTACCTGCTGGGAGACCTCCTGCCCCCAGTTCCTGTTGCCCACCGTGACATCATGACTCCCTATGAATTCCTGGAAACTCTATGGTAAAAGATTTGCCCTGAAAGTGACACAATGTTTTGGGGAGGGGAAGGGAAAGGAGATTGTCAGCCGCTCTGAGACTCCTTTGGGTAGTGAAGAAAGCCAGTTTGATGTTGTGGTTAAGTGTGCGGACTCTAATCTGGGAGAACCGGGTTTGATTCCCCACTCCTCCACTTGCAGCTGCTGGATGACCTTGGGTCAGTTACAAGTTCTCTCAGAGCAGTCCTCGAGAGAGCTCTCTCAGCCCCACCTCCCTCACCGGGTATCTGTTGTGGGGAGGAGGATGGAAAGGAGATTGTAAGATGCTCTGAGACTCCCTTGGGTAATGAAGGGCAGGGCATAAAGCCAGTCTCTTCTTCGTCATCTTCTAGCTTCTGCTCCACCCCTTCTGCGTCCCTAAGCGGTATCCGTGGGTAGCCCCATCGTGTGGCTTTTTCTATCTGCCCAGGGGCACCTCTAGAATGTTTGATACAGCCATGATGACCATGTTTATCTACTCGGAATGCTTGGATGTTATCCGGCCCGTATGTGATCAGGGAAACGTCTAACACATTCACTGTCACTGCTGTGCTCGCTTGTGGGGGGCACCGGTGAGGCCGAAACGCGCCTGCAGTGGTTATTTCCAATATTTGGCATACACTATCCTTGCAGCTGTCGACATATCAACTATCAAGGCTATTCTATTAGGACATAAGAGAACATAAGAGAAGCCAATGTTGGATCAGGCCAAAGGCCCTTCCAGTCCAGCACTCGGTGTCACACCGTGGCCAAAAACCAGGTGTTGCCCTGACCTGGGTAGCCCAGGCAAGCCTAATCTTGTCAGATCTCGGAAGCTAAGCGGGGTCGACTCTGGCAGGTACTTGGATGGGAGACCTCCTTGGAATACCAGAGGTGGGGGCAGGCTTTCTTCAGCCACCTCTCTAAATATCCTCCAGGCCCCCAGTAGGGGTCAGTCACCAAAGTTGCCATAACTTCCAGGTGCGTGCACACGCACAGACATGCACATATAAATAATACAAATACCAAAAAAACCCAGGTGTCATCAGGAGCACTGTTCCCAGTTTGGTGTCGGGGTTAAGAGCCAGTTTGGTGTCGTGGTTAAGAGCCAGTTTGGTGTCGTGGTTAAGTGTGCGGACTCTAATCTGGGAGAACCGGGTTTGATTCCCCACTCCTCCACTTGCAGCTGCTGGATGACCTTGGGTCAGTTACAAGTTCTATCAGAGCAGTCCTCGAGAGAGCTCTCTCAGCCCCACCTCCCTCACCGGGTATCTGTAGTGTGGAGGAGGACGGAAAGGAGATTGTAAGACGCTCTGAGACTCCCTTGGGTAATGAAGGGCGGGGCATAAATCCAGTCTCTTCTTCGTCATCTTCTAGCTTCTGCTCCACCCCTTCTGCGTCCCTAAGCGGTATCCGTGGGTAGCCCCATTGTGTGGCTTTTTCTGTCTGCCCAGGGGCACCTCTAGAATGTTTGATACAGCCATGATGACCATGTTTACCTACTCTGAATGCTTGAACGTTATCCAACCCGTATGTGATCAGGCAAACGTCTAACACATTCACTGTCACCGCTGTGCTCGCTTGTGGGGGGCACCAGTGAGGCCGAAACGCGCCTGCAGTGGTTAGAGAACAAAGCACTGGGTGCCGTCGCAATGAGGCTTGCTGCTGTCCAGGAATGGGGCACATCGAATGAAAAGGGTAAACTCTGCCAAAGGGGAGGAGGAGGCTTGGAAGCCAGTTTGGCGTAGTGGTTAAGAGCGTGGACTCGATTCTGGGAGAACCGGGTTCGATTCCCCACTCCTCCACATGCGGCTGCTGGTGTGACCTTGGGTCAGTCACAAGTTCTCTCCGAGCTGTTCTCTCAAGAGCAGTCCTCGAGAGAGCTCTCTCAGCCCCGCCTACCTCACAGGGCGTCTGTTGTGGGGAGGGGGAGGGAAAGGAGATGGTAAGCCACTCTGAGACTCCTTCGGGCAGTGAAGGGCCATGGGGTATAAATCCAATTTCCTCTCCTTCTCTTCTCCCGCTTGGCCCTTGTTCTGTTGTTTTGCCCGCCGCTATAGAGCTGGTGTGGCTTGGCGGGTTTCGTAGCTTTCTTCCTGTTCACCCGAGGAGGGAAGCGGGCCCTCGAGAGAGTTGCCTGACTCTGTGGTTGCTCTTACAGGTGGAGCAGTTCTGGAGGTTTTACAGTCACATGGTCCGCCCTGGGGACCTGACGGGTCACAGCGACTTCCACCTTTTCAAAGAAGGGATCAAACCCATGTGGGAGGTGAGTTGGCGCCTGCTCAGAGGGGACAGCGTGCCCGGGTTTCCAGCCCGCGGGTCATGTTTCCGGGGTGGAATAGCGTTGGAGTCGGGACCTGGGTTTAAATTGCTGTGTATTTATTACCCTGTCCGTCTTGAGAGGGCCTACTTGGGCTGCCCCTGCCATCTGTGGCTCTGGCAACCCGTGGCAACTCGAGAAAGAGCCTTCTCAGTTGTGGCACCAAAGCGTTGGCACTTCTGCCCCAGGGAGGATTCATCTGTCTCCCTCAATTGATTGGCATCCCCCCAATAACGGTTATGGGCCTTCCTCCCTAGTTCTGGTGGTTGGTTGGCTGTGCATTTAAATGTTATTATTTATTAGTTTTGTTCTTTATTAGCTTTGTTCTTTATTAGATTTGCTAATTGCCCTATCCCAGAGTGCACCGGGCTCTGGGCAATGTACAAGGGATAATGCCAATTTTTTTAAAAAAAACCCATTAACATTCAATATAAAATTTACAATACACAATAGAAATCCAAGATGGCGATTTCCCCATATTATTTGTCCCAGTGTTGTTTAATGGTTCAAATGTTTTAATGCCTTTATGCACGCCACCTTGGAGAGGGTGATTGGTGGAGAGGCGGCATTAAAAAGGTTTTGAATAATAATAATGACCAGTGTTCCCTCTAAGCTGAGTTAGTGAGAGCTAGCTCACAATTTTTTAGCCTCCAGCTCACACATTTTTGTCTTGGCTCAGGAAGGATGCCTCCAGAGCAAACTGATTTATGCAGGAGCCAAATCGCTAACTCCTGATTTTAATGCCAGTAGCTCACAAAGTAGAATTTTTGCTCACAAGACCCCACAGCTTAGAGGGAACGTTGATAATGGCTATCATTTGATTCAATTTATTTTTACTTATTTCAGTTGTATCCCGCCTTTCTCCCCCACGTGGACCCCGCGCGGCTTGCATTGTTCTCCTCTCCTCCCTTTTATCCTCACAACAACCCTGGGAGGTAGCGTAAGCTGAGCGTGCGTGACTATCCCAAGGTCGCCCATTGAGTTGCCATGGTGGGGTGTGAATTCGAACCTGGGTCTCCCAGATCGTAGTCTGTTACTCTCACCATTGCGGTGAAGAACAGCTAAAAACAGTTTGCACCGCAGTTTCGTCTAAGCCATTTTTACAGTAGTCTAGGATCATGTACCCGATCCTTAAGTACCTCTAAGTCCCAGATCCTTAAGCACTGTTAACTGAAATAAGGGGATCTCTTCGTTATAAAACTTCAGAACAAAGTTGGAGTTCAGTGCAATGTTCCCTCTATGCTGTGGAGTCTTGTGAGCAAAAGTTCTACTTTGTGAGCGACTGGCATTAAAGTTGTGAGCGAGCGATTTGGCCACTGCATCAGTTAGTGTACTCTGGAGCCTTCCTTCCTGAGCCGAGACAAAAATGTGTGAGCAGGAGGCTAAAGAACTGTGAGCTAGCTCACACTTACTCAGCTTAGAGGGAACACTGGTCCAGTGGCACCTTTAAGACCAACGACGTTTTATTCGAGATGTAAGCTTTTGTGTGCATGCACCCTTCCAGTTAGGTCCTTGCATCCGTTGAACACCTTTATTAAGATGTATGCTGATTTGCTTGTCACCCTTTACCAGTGCTCCCTTTGAGCTGTGGAGTCTTGTGGACATAAATTGCACTTTGTGAGCTACGGGCATTAAAGTTGTGAGCGAGCAATTGGGCTACTGCATCAATTAGTTTGCTCTGGAGCCCTCCCTCCTGACCTAAAACAAAAATGTGTCAGCCAGAAGCTAAAAAAAATCTGTGAGCTAGCTCACACTAACTCAGCTTAGATGGACTGGCAACTTCCATTTCAATGTACCTGAAGAAGCGTGTGTGCCCACGAAAGCTTTAGCTTGAATAAGACTGTGTCGGTCTTAAAGGTCCCGCTGGGCTCAAACGTTGTTCTTATAAAACTTGGATCACTACAAAAGGGACCCTGCGCTCTGGAGGAAGGCAGAGTCCCCACAAACGTAAGATGACGATCCTTTTTGTGTGTGTGAGTGAGACATCCAGTTTCTCTTCAGGAGGACCAGGGATTCCAACTCTCCCATTTTCGTCATTTCCCTCTTGGCAGGATGACGCCAACAAGAACGGCGGAAAGTGGATCATCCGCCTCCGGAAGGGCTTAGCCTCTCGCTGCTGGGAGAACCTCATTCTGGCCATGCTGGGGGAACAGTTCATGGTGGGGGAGGAAATCTGCGGGGCGGTCGTCTCCGTCCGTTTCCAGGTAAGCCTTTTCTGGGGGGAGTCGCGGGGCGAGCTTGGTTGGGACTGGGGCGCCGAAGCCTCCCAGTGCAGAAAAGGTGCAGAAAAGGGCAACTAGGATGATAAAAGGGTTGGAACACTTTCCCTATGAAGAAAGGGTAAAGCACTTGGGGCTTTTTAGCTTGGAGAAACGATAACTGTGGGGGTGACATGATTGAGGTTTACAGATTTATGCATGGGATAGAGAAGGTAGATAAAGAAGTACTTCTCTCCCTTTCTCACCATACAAGAACTCGTGGGCACTCCATGAACTTAACCAGCAGTAGGCTTAGAACAGATCAAAGGAAGTCCTTGAGCCAAAGAGTGATTCACACGTGGAATTCACTGCCACAGGAGGTGGTGGCGGCTACAAGCATGGACGGCTTCAAGAGGGAACTGGATAAACAGATGGAGCAGAAGTCCATCAGTGGCTCTTAGCCAGAACACTCTGTCTGGGGTAAGGGATGCTCTGTCTTCTTGGTGCTTCGGGGATGAAAGTACTGGGTTCGCCGCATGGAGGACTCGGACGACGACATACTGTAGCACACGTTTATTGTACTTAACACAGACAAAGACTAACTCTAACTGCCAACAGGGCCAACTATATACATATCCACCAGCAACCCCCCCACTCCCATTGGGGGGTTTAAATGTCCCGCCAAGGCGGCTATTGGTTGGGGCTGGGGAATCCAGGATCCGAAGTATCCTTTGTTTTCGGATCCAAGCTCTGGCCTGTCCGCGGACCCCTGGAGGCGGTCCACGTAAATAACAGGGGACAACAGTGGAGCCTGAGGAGGGTGGGGCTTGGGGCAAAACGCCATAGAGTCCAGCTTCCGAAGTGGTCATTTTCTCCAGGTGAACCGATATATGTTGCCTGGAGGCCAGTTGTAATAGCGGGAGATCTCCAGCTACTACCTGGGGTTGGCAACCCTAGTTCTGGCCAACAGTGGGAGGGCTTCTAGTGTCCTGGCCCCACTGCTGGGCTTCCTGATGGCACCTGGTATTTTTGGCCACTGTGTGACAGAGTGTTGGACTGGATGGGCCATCGGCCTGATCCAACATTGGCTTCTCTTATATTCTGATGTTCTTATTTACTGACCCTTCGATGGGTGCTCCGCAGGAGGACATCATCTCTATATGGAACAAGACGGCCAGCGACCAGGCGACCACCGCCCGGATACGGGACACATTACGGCGCGTGCTTAACCTGCCCCCCAACACCATCATGGAGTACAAAACGCACACAGACAGCATCAAGTAGGTGCGGGGGATGGCGTGGGGGTGGGGAGGGGAGGCGCGCCTGTGATATGCTTGCTTTCACTGTGTCCGTGCGGGGCGGGGATCAGAACAGAAGCGGGGCTCGTCCCCCGAGCATTTGACACTTTAGAGCCAACGGCCTAACGAGACCGAGTCGGAACCATTCCAAGGCCTCTTGGGACTGCTATGCTGAGGCTTGTGTTGCCCGGCGTGCGAGAGCCCGCTTCTTGCCTGCTGTTAGTGGCCTGTCCCAGAGGTTTTCAAACTTTTACCTCGAGGGGGGAGCTTTTTCGGCATCTGCAGAGGAACTCTTGCTTGTGGGGGGACCTTGTATGCTGAAGAAGATTATGAGAGGCAGTTGAGGGTGCACAGCCTGGGTGATTTATTAGTATTATTACTTGGTTATTTATGGTCTTCTTTTCTCATTGAGACTCAAGGCAGACTACATAGTGTAGGTTGACACAGGTACAGTCGACAGGATGGGATGTCCGGCAAACAGGACAATAGGGTTTGGGGTACAGCAGTCTCAAACAGAGTTGAAACACAGCATGGGCTTTTGATTGTGATACTGTGGCGTCCTCGCTTATTGGGAAGATAGTTTTACCTTTAAATCACTCTCTGTGTAACTGAACTTGGTAGATTTCTGCTGCCACCAGGAATTAAAAATTCCAAATCTCTCTCTCTTGGTAGAATGACCCAGGGTCTGGGCACTTCAGCGGAGTATGTGGCCCTGAGGAAGGACTATTCTGATGTCTGGGATAAGTTTAAACAAAAAAATGATTTATTTAATAAAGAACAAAGTAGGTTTCTGGTTATTTTGAACTGTTGCTGATGAAAGGAACTTGTAAATATAACTGGCAAAGCTTGGTGTCACAAACAGTCTCTCAGACTCCCAAAACTCCACTCTGACAGATATAGACACAGTCTAATCTCTCCATTCTCTCTCTCATCTATATAGCCACACAGGCTGAACCCTTTGTCCTATTCACACAGAATAGACTCAAAACTCATATTCACACAGACTAAACTGTTTGTCTTATTCACACAGAATAGTCTCAAAAACTCCCAGAGTCACACAGACTATGCTCTCCCTTCAAACTTCACACACAGAATCCTCCTCATAGACACCCCTCCCCCCACTCTCAGTCATCAGCCAATCACCTGACACTTGTCTCCCTCTATCACTCTTCTTACAGCACTGCAGTCAAACGACTCATTTAAAGAAACGCACACACCAAAACATGAAATCATTACAGATACATTAAGCGGGCGTAGAAACTACCTGGTCTGGAGCACACTGACAGTATGATAGGCAGCAGTACAGTAGTATAGGCCACAATCTCTCTCCCTTTGCCAATGCCACTTCCTGACCGGTTGTAGTTCAGTCCCCTTTAACCTGTGCAACAGGAGCCCTCTTGAATAATTCAAGATGGGTGGCCGTGTTAGTCTGTCTGTAGCAGTAGAAAAGAGCAAAAGTCCAGTAGCGCCTTAAAGTCCAACAAAATATGTGGCAGGGGGGGGGGGTTAGGGGGGGACCGACCCCCTCTCCTTCTTCAGGTATCTCCTGAAGCTCACGAAAGCTCCTCCCCGCCACATATTTTGTTAGTCTTCAAGGTGCTGCTGGACTTTTGCTCTTTTCTACTAAAAAGAAGTCAGCCTTGCATCGTCTGCGCAAAGCCAGGAGAGTGGAGGTCTTCCTAACTTCATCGGGGAGGCCATTCAATGGGGGGGCCCCACAATGTTTGAGTACGGAGAGTTACCGGTTTTGCCCGTCTGCAGGACGGTACCTGCTAGAAGGCCCTGCTTGGATGAGCAAAGCTGTGGTGGTGGAGCATCGGGAGAGAGGTGGTCCTGCAGACATGAGGGGCCAAGATACACCCCATGCTTCCCTGCAACAATATGTTGTGGGGGTGGGAGATCAGTAGGGGCAAGGGGACAGAAGGGAACCTCCACATTCAGGAACACTAAGCCTCTGGATCCCAGAGCCAGGAGGCATCATCAAGGGGAAGGCCTCAGCCTCTCTGCCCTGTTGTTGGCCCTCCAGAGGAACTGGCTGGCCACTGGGTGAGACAGGATGTTGGACTGGATGGACAACTGGTCTGATCCAGCAGGGCTCATCTGATGTTCTTATGAAGGCCTTGGCCTCTGTGCCCTGTTCTTGGCCCTCCAGAGGAACTGGTTGGCTATTGGGTGAGACAGGATGCTGGACTAGATGGACCCTCACTGGTCTGATCCAGCAGGGCTCTTCTGATGTTCTTGTGAAGGCCTCAGTCTCTCTGCCCTGTTGTTGACCCTCCAGAGGAACTGGTTGGCCTCTGTGTGAGAAAGATGCTGGACTAGATGGACCCTCACTGGTCTGATCCAGCAGGGCTCTTCTGATGTTCTTATGAAGGCCTCGGCCTCTTTGCCCTGTTTTTGACCCTCCAGAGGAACTGGCTGGCCCCTGTGTGAGACAGGATGCTGGACTGGAAAGACCACTGGTCTGAGCTAGCAGGGCTCTTCTGAGGTTCTTATGAAGGCCTCGGCCTCTCTGCCCTGTTGTTGGCCCTCCAGAGGAACTGGTTGGCCCCTGAGTGAGACAGGATGCTGGACTAGATGGACCACTGGTCTGATCCAGCTGGACTCTTTTGATGTTCTTATCAGAGTAAGGTGTTCTGTCTCTGCCCTGTTGTTGGACCTTCAGAGGAACTGGTTGTCCACTGAGTGAGGCAGGATGCTTGACTTGAGGGACCACTGGTCTGACCCAGCAGGGCTCTTCTGATATTCTTCTGAAGGCCTTGGTCTCTATGTGCTGTTGTTGGCCCTCCAGAGGAACTGGTTTGCCCCTGTGTGAGACAGGATGCTGGACTAGGTAGACCACTGGTCTGATCCAGCAGGGCTCTTCTGATGTTCTTATGAAGGCCTTGGCCTCTCTGCCCTGTTGTTGGCCGTCCAGAGGAACTGGTTGGCCACTGTGTGAGACAGGATGCTGGACTAGGTAGACCACTGGTCTGATCCAGCAGGGCTCTTCTGATGTTCTTATGAAGGCCTTGGCCTCTCTGCCCTGTTGTTGGCCGTCCAGAGGAACTGGTTGGCCACTGTGTGAGACAGGATGCTGGACTAGGTAGACCACTGGTCTGATCCAGCAGGGCTCTTCTGATGTTCTTATGAAGGCCTTGGCCTCTCTGCCCTGTTGTTGGCCGTCCAGAGGAACTGGTTGGCCACTGTGTGAGACAGGATGCTGGACTAGGTAGACCACTGGTCTGATCCAGCAGGGCTCTTCTGATGTTCTTATGAAGGCCTTGGCCTCTCTGCCCTGTTGTTGGCCCTCCAGAGGAACTGGTTTGCCCCTGTGTGAGACAGGATGCTGGACTGGGTGGACCACTGCTCTGACCTAGCTGGTCTCTTCTGATCTTCTTATGAAGGCCTCGGCCTCTATGCCCTGTTGTTGGGCCTCCAGAGGAACTGGTTGGCCCCTGTGTGAGACAGGATGCTGGACTAGGTGGACCACTGGTCTGATCCAGCAGGGCTCTTCTGATGTTCTTAATAAAGTTTGTCTCTCACTATAGACCTTTTCATGCCGGTCTCTATGCCCCCCAGGTAAGCATTCTGATTTCCCCAGAACTCAGCTGTCAAATTGACGTACCCTGATCTTCGAAGGGGGCGCTTAGAAACCTGGGACAGGGTTGCCGGTTTTTCTCCCATTTCAGCGCCAAGGTGGCAGGAAGGGGGGTTGCATTCTTTGAGAGGACTGCAATTCCTGGGGAAATAAAACACAGACGCTAACAGGGATTTATGGACCCATTAGATTTATAAATGTTCTCGGGAAGGCGCTATGTAAATTTACAGTGCTGTACAAATGATTTCTAATCATAATAAATGCCGCGTATTAAATCCTCTCAGCCCCCCACCCCTCCGCCAGTGACAGAGGCTCTTTAACGAGAACAGAGGATTCTAGTACACGGCGAAGACAGCTGTATTTTAAATAAGACGGTTATAGTTTACCATGCCAGGCCGTTTGAGATGACTTTTATTTTCCCGCAAAGTGATGAAGGACGGCCGCGTGTCGAGGGAGCTTTCAGAGCAAGGGTAAAAGATGGGCAAGAGACCCTTTTTCACTTAAGTGCACTCGAAGCGGAGATGCAGGTTGGGGGTCACATGGGCTGCCACTAAAGGATGAATATCAACCCAAGAAGAGGGAGGAAAGATGAGTGATACGGGGAGGGAGAACTTCACGCAGATGCGGGTTTTCCTGTTTGGTTGCAGAGCCAGCCTGGTTTCTCCCCACGCACCCTGCGGATGCCTTGCCGTATTTCTCAGTGAAGTAAGCAAAGACTCCCCGAAGAGGCACTGGTAGAACATAAGAACTGACCTCCAAAGGTCCCTCTAGCTCCGCATGCCAACAGTGGGCAGCTAGATGCCTTTGGGAGGCAGGTTTGTGTCGGAGACAGCCGTCGCCCCTCTTTGTTTGGTGCCTAGTTGGGGTGCCTAGCTGTGACATCCTCACCTATAGGGGAAATGGTTTTACCTCTAAACACTCTCTGAGTACATAAATTTGGTAGTTTTCTACTGCCACCAGTGTTCCCTCTAAGCTGTGAAGTCTTATGAGCAAAAATCCTACTTTGTGAGCTACTGGCATTAAAGTTGTGAGTGAGCAATTCGGCTACTGCATGAATTAGTTTGCCCTGGAGCCATCCTTCCTGAGTGAAGAGAAAAATGTGAGAGCCGGAGGCTAAAAAAACTGAGCTAACTCACACTGACTCAGCTTAGAGGGAACACTGGCTGCCACCAGGAATTAAAAAATCCAAATCTCTCTCTTTTGGTAGTATGTCCTAGGGTCTGGGCACTTCAGAGGACTATGTGGCCCTGAGGTACTGTACTGATTTCTGGGATAAGTTTAAGCAAAAAATTGATTTATTTAATAAAGAACAAAATAGGTTTCTGGCTATTTTGAACAGTTGCTGAAGAAGGGAACTTGTAAATATAACTGGCTACAAACAGTCTCTCAAACTCCACTCTGG